CCCGGATGATGTTATTAACTGTGTCGGGAACATATGGTCCGGGGACATGAGACCTGAAATATTATTTACTTCGGAGCAGAGGACACCCCACTACCTCCCATGCAGGCTGGGTTTGGCACGACTCTTACTGATTGATAGGCCTTTCAGGAAACAAAGACCACGAGAGAATTCAACATGCTCCTGGCTTGGGGCCAAGCCGGCCTCCTCGCCTAATGCTTTCTCGAGTGTGTCTTTTTGTCTGCCTTCACTACCGGGGGAGGCAAGTGTGTATTCGTGGTGTGTGTGTGTCTGCACACACATGCACACCCCCCGCTTTCCCCAAGCCCGGCTCTCCTGGGGGCGGGAAGGAACGAGGGATCAGCCACAGCTCCCCCACTGACCCTTTCCCTCGGCCCCTTGACTTGGAAGCGAACGCCTGGGATTTTTCGCCAAGCCCAGAGACAGACGAGGGCCTTCTCGAGGTCACACAGCAGGCCCAGGGCAAGGCTGCCAGTGAGACCAGTTCTCCACCTTCTCCTGCTCCAGCTACACAGAACCGCTGGGGGCATCCTGGGCCCACAAAATGCCAGCCCAGCTCGGGACTTCCACCCCCCCCATCCTCTGCCACGCTCACCTGGGAGTTCCTCCTAGTGACACCAAAGAAGCCCAGTGGGGAAGTGACAGAGAGAATTTCTTGGAAAGGGAACCAAAGTTTAGAGCCCTAGAGGCAAAGAGCAGCCAGGAGAGCCTGGGGGGCCTCCGGGGGCTGGGGGAGCAGGACTATGGGAGGTCACACGGGGTAGGCACAGGCAGGCCAACCAGCTGGAAACACAAGCTGCCCCCCACCCCCCGCAGGCAGCTCCTGCCAGGCACCACGCCCATCCACACCGGCGGGGTCAACCCCTCACTCGGGTCTCCCCTGCCACACCCCTAACCCCTCCAGGGTCGGGGCTGATGCCCTGGGCACCCAGGTTCCAAGTTCTAAGTAGGATGGCTTCCCAAGCCCTCGGTCGCTCAATGTAAACTGTCCCCAGTCTGGGAGGGGGGCACTGAGGCTGAGCCGGGGGTTTCTTCCATGGCTGGGTCACTTGGGGGCCCCTCTGGCTCTGGCAGTCCAGCCCAGGGCTCAGTACTGCCCTCCCGCGGCCCTGGATGGAGGCTGCCATGGTCCTGGCTCCCAGGCCCTGCCTGATCCATCTTCCCAGCCAGGGACTCACCGCCACCCCAGGACAGGGCCTGGAGGCTGTGGCATTTGCCTCTGACCTCTGCTGGCCAGGCGTGCGTCAGGCGGAGGATGAAGAATGGGCACGCCGCTGCCGCCCCAGAGGCCTCTGCCGAACTGCAGTTCAGAGCTCAGCTGCCTGGGGCCGCGGATCAACAGGGAGGCATTAATCTCTTCGGCAGCAACCCCGCCTGGAGCAAGGAGGAGCAGGGGGAGCGTCGGGGGAAGGCTCAGCTCTCGTCTCTGCTCTGGGCCCTCGTCAGCAGGGCCCCCTACCCGCATTGCCTCCCTGTCTGCCCAGAGACCCCACTCCCTCTGACAGAGATAGGACCAGAGTAGATGCTCGGGGTGGGTTCTTTGGGGCACCCCCTCCTTGCTCAGCCGGGGAGAGTTTGGGATTGCTGGGGAGTCCCCCAAGGCCCCAAAGTTTAGAAAAATCAGAGGCCTAAGGCAGGGGCGTCCTCACTCTGGAAAGGAGATCAACACCTGTAGGATCCAGGGACCATCCAGTCCGAGCCTCCAGTCCCTCTGATGGGGAAACCAAGGGCAGGGAGGAGAGCTTCCCCCACAGGCCACCTAACCAGAGTGTCCAAGAGGGGATCTCCGGCCCCCCCCCAGCCCACACATATGTGAGCTCCCCATGCCCGAGTGTACAGAGGCTGGGGCAGTGGGCGCTCCAGCCTGGGACAGGGGCGACACTAACTGACAGGGTCACCAGCTAATACTGTCCCACCCTGACCTCCTGCCCAGCCCTTCCGCCGCATGGAGGCCGGTGAGGAAAGGCCAGGGTAGCGCAGGCTCAGGAGATCTCAGGGCCCTAGTGTCCAAGGCCAGCACGTACCTTTTATGCCCTGAAAGCACCTTCATGAGAGAGCTGGGGTGAGGCCACCGCTGGGGCAGGGTGGCACTGTCTGCCCGTCTCCCCAGACCGTGAAGCAGGTCAAGTTTTCCGGGGCCATCTGAGTCTCCACCCCATATCTGTTCCCCTGCCTCCCATTCTCCTTACCGCCCTAGCTGTGCCCACCTAGTAAGCTAATAACTTGCAACTTCGCCTCCAGGACGAATTCTCCTGGGGGTGGCATTAAACACGACCAGCATCTCATCAGTTAAGCCAGAATCTCTGTGGCCCAGTCTCTTGTTAGGCAGAGCCGCTCAGACAACCAACCAACTTCTCCCACCTGCCGCCCCACGGATGCCGGTGCTCAGCGCCTCTGCCTCTCTCGGGTCCTGCTCATGACGGTGATTAGCTCCAACTATGGGGCTGGAGGCTTCGTGGTTACCCCAAGCGCTGCGGAAGATATGCAGACCACGTATGATCACTGCCTTCCAGAAGGGGTGAGGACTCGAGACCCGCAGCCCAGAATCACCCCAGAATAGGGCAAGCGATACACCTGAGGGATGTGCAAACGGATTGAGAAGAATTCAAAGCTTTCCCTGGTTTCAGGGGGCCCTACCGTCTGCAAAGGGCCCCAGGCCCCGGAAAGACGGAGTTGAAAACTCCAATTTGAAGGAGCTTTAAGACTAAGGCGCATGCTCCCTCTGGTGGTGACAAGGGGGATTGCATTCCCTCAGACAAGGGTTTTTTGTTGTTGCTGTTGGGTGATCAAGAGTCATTCATCCAGTCGTTCCCAGGCTTGGTTGTTCCTTGTGACCCAATTTGTGTCTGAATTGTGAAAAATCCCAGAGTGAAGTGAAAGTTCAGTAGTTCCCAGTGCATGTGACCTTTGTGGAGAGGGAAGGGAAAGTATTCATAAAGGCCCTGAACCACGAACAGGTCACAGACCTCAGAATGTCACTTAGATCCGTGGTTCTCAGCCCTGGTCACTCTCTGGGGCCACCTGGGAGCTTGTTAACCATCAACTTTCGTGGGCCCCAGCCCAAGAGTCACATTCAATAGGTCTGGAGGGAATGCTGGGTGTCTGGTGGTTCCAACAGCACCCTGGGTTCTCTGGGGTACATAACCTGGGACCCACAGGAGCCTCACATTTCACAAGGGCGGAGGGTTTGCAGCAGGGGTGGAGAGTGGAGTGGCTCACCTGGGACCATTTCCCCTGTGGAACAGCTAGAATGCCCCTCCTAGTTGGCACCCTCAGAGGTTGGTGTATAGAACATTCTAGAAGTGTTAACTCCTCTCCACTGCTCTGGGCCACAGACCTGGAACACCCCCTCCTCCTGTCTGTCTTGCCGCTCCATCCAAGAAGCTTCAGGAGCGAACCTCCTCGGGAAAGCACCCCTGGCCGGGCCCACCCCGTTCCTGTTCATTTCTCCCACCAGGATGGACAGGTCAGGTACACGCTCCGTCTTGTGTATGGAAATACTGAATTCTATTTAGGGGTGTGGCCTGTCCCATTTTCTTTGTCTTTGGTGAGCCCACGTTTGGAGCAGGGTGTCGCAAAGACCTCGGCCCCGAGGTGTAAGTAGCCAGGCCCTCTCTCTCTTCCCTCGGCTTTCCAAGCCCACAGGGGGTCAGTGGGGAATCTGCCCACCACCGTCACGTGTCAGTGAGAATGCTGGAATGGGAGCTGGCGAGCTGGCTTCTAGCTCTGGCCCTGATACAGGCCGGCTGTGTCACCTGGACAAGTCCCTGCCTTTCCTACGGTCTCAGTTTCCCTTTCTGAGAAGTGAAGCTTGTCTCTTTCGCTCCCTAAGGACCTTCTGTGTTCAAGCCTTCTGTGATTCTGTGAGGCTTGGTGGTCTTCAGGACCTGGGGTCTGTGGGTTTAGACAAAGAACTGAATTTGCAAGTGGAACGGTGGTCTACTCTGCCTCTGGCCCCCAAATATACCCTGTTCATTTTAAATTTAAAAAAATTTTTTTAAATTTTTATTCTAAGTAGGCTCCACGCCCAGTGCGGGGCTTGAACTCATGACCCCCCTGTTCACTGTAAACTCCACTAGCTCGCTGCTGTCTGGGTTCTCCTGCCAAGTTCTCCCCTCCCCTCCCTGGCAGGCTTACAGACCCAGATGGGGAAAATGGACACTAGGTGGTGCCGTGATCCTGCCCCCCCCCATCCCTTCGACATGGAAGAGCAGGAGAGGGAAGATGGGCTCCTTCTGAGTGCAGAACCTGCCAGAGGGGAGCATGCTGCGCCGCAAGGGGGCCACAGGCTTCAGGAAGTTGGGCTCCGGGCAGAGAGGCAGCCTGACACCATCGTGGCTCCTGCGGCCGGCGGCTGGGTCCCTGCCAGAGTGCACAGGGCTGGAGGTCCGCACCCTCCCTGTCCACTCCCTGGCCCTGGGATTAACCAAGGCAGCACCCAGACAGGTGGAGGAGAACAGGTGCGGTGGGGGGCTCCCAAGCCCCGAGAGCAGAAAGGGAGTGGCCTGAGCTTCGCACCAGGGTCAGGAGGGGCGTAGGGAGAGAGCGTGTGCTGAGGCACACACCAGGGCCCCCAGGCCCACCCATCGTGGCGTGCTGGGGCTCCTGGGAGGTGGCAAAGCACACACTAAGGTCACAAACAGCCACGACTTTGGCCGCTCAGGGCACATCTGCAGGAACTCCCAGCAGAGAGCTCCAGCAGCAGCACCCAGGGCCTGAGCAGATACCAAAGCGGCACCCATTTGCCATTGACCTTCACACTTCCGGGCTTTCTCTCCGCCTGGGGCGCGGAAGGCAGGCTGAGTCCTCTGTCCTCGGGGCTCCTGGCAATTCGGGGGGCAAGGAGAGGCCTGCAGATGATGAGTAGGCATGGGCACCTGAGCAATTCACTGAAAACCAAGGTCATGGCTCCATTGTACTCCAGCTTGGAAGGACGAGTGGGTTGTGGCAGGTATGGGAGGGAGGGAGGCCAGGGAAGGAGCTGTGTCTCTGAGGCTGGCTTTATTATTAACGTGAGGCAGCCTGGGGTTGGGAGGAGGCCATGAAAACCCAGGGGTCACCTGGAGCCTGGTGCTTCCTTCAGCCCGAGGGCCTGGCAGTGCTGGGGACAAAGGTCTGCAGCTCAGGGAAGGCTTCCCAAGGCCCCACTGCAAAGACAGTACGGCTAACTCTGAAAAGACAAAGACAGGGTCTGGGTTGCAATGGGGGCAGGAGTAGGGATTTTTCTTTTATTCCTTATTCATCTCACCTTTCTCTTTGCCCCCTCCCTTGGCCACACACGCCACACCAGACACTTGGCCATCAATCAAAAAGCCAGGGTGGGTGGCAGACCACCTGGCTGGAGGCTGGAAGACCCTGAAATCCTTCCCGGCTCCGTCCCAAGCTCTCCCTGATTTCTCCAGAGCCATCCCTGGCTCACCCCTCCCCTGTCCCTCCCCAACTTACCTGTCATTACAGATCATCATCATTGACTTGCCTGGGGTGGGGGAGGGGAAAAAGAGAGGGAAGAAGTCAGAGGGGGATGTGGTGAGTCTCAGGGTCCCTGAAGTCGGGGACCCCTCCTCACAGGCTTCGGAGACCAAAATCCTTGGCCTACGCCTCCTTTCCCCCCAGTGTCCCCACCCCACTCAGGGACCCTAAGCAGGCACTCACCCGTGCTTCTTTTTGCCCCCACAGCGGAGTCTTTTGCCTTGAAGGGAGAAAGGAGATGAGTTTCCATCAACCTCTTGCTCCCAGGGAGAGCCTCTCTGCCCTGAAGGATGCAGCCCTGGAGCCTTTACTCCCTCCCGCCCACCAGAGCCACAGTGGACCATTTCTGTCTTTATATGGAGCTGGGCCATAAGCATTCAGTCAGTCGGTACATCCGTCAGTCAGTCAACAAACATTTACCGCAGCGGCTCCGTGGTAGACCGTGAGCTTGCTGAGAGCAGTGGCCGAGCCGGGGCCATGGTGGTGCCCCCGGCACAGGGCCGAGCACATAGTAGCTGCTCAATACGCTCCTGGGGGAGGAGGACCGTAAGTCCAGAGCCAAGATCTCTGCTCAGGCCTGTCTGCCCCCTGCACCTGTGTGCTGGACCACGACCCAGTACTGCCCACAAGACCCTTCCAGCTGAGCTGGGCAGAGCAGCCATGTCTGCAGACAGAAGCCCTCAGATGGAATGGCACCAACCATGGACGGGTTAGAATCCCAGGACGCAGAGGTGTTTGTGTTTCTGTGTATTTTTCTTCTGGTTGCACCAAACCAAGTCAATGAGCATTTACTAAACCCTGCTGTGTGCCTACTGGGGCTAGGGGATATACAAGGACCCGTCTCTCCTCCAGAACACTCTAGGCCTGCACCTGAGTACTCCCTTGGCTGTCATGCTAGCCCTAACTTTACGAGATCAGTAGGATCATCCCTATTTAACAGATGAGCAAACTGAGGCCCAGGGAGTTAGGGATCCACACACAGTAAACTGGTGATGGGGTCGAATGCCTCTGGCTCCCAGCCACACTTGTTTCCAGCAGTCGGTGGGATGGGGTGGGAGGTGGACACCCCTGGGTTCAGCTGAGCTCAGCTCTGCTTCTGATTGGCTGTGGCCCCCCGGGCAAGTTGTTGCACCTGTCACGGTGGGTAGCTTTTCCTCTGTAGAATGTGACCATAGGGGCCATCCCTCAGTGTTGCCGAGAGGATTAAATGGACTGAGATGTAGCTCATGCCAAGCAAGGAAAGTGCCCAGATCTGGCCAAGGGAGGTATCCAGTGGAGGTTGGTTCCCTCCCCTGGCTTGAACCCCGTGTGCTGGAGTGTCCCTCGCAGGCTGGACACAGCTAGCTCTCCCCTCTCAGCAGCTCCTCCCAGGGCCACCAGAGGGCGCACTGGAGGAAAAGGGCACGTCCTCTGTGTGGCCCAAGGACCAAGCAGGGACGCGTCCCAAGAAGCCTGTGTCCATCAGGGTATCTGTCAGTTCCCACATCCTGCATAGGGGAATGGAGGGGAGGGAGAAACTCACTTCCCTCCTGGGATCTGAGAAGAGGGTGAGAGGGCTTTCCCCGACCCCCACCGGGGGAACCCGTGCTCAGTGGCTCTGAGAAGAGATATGGCCCCATGAAGCGGCCCCTTCCGAAAGCCCCACTTACTGAGGATGATAATGAGCCCCACGACGAAGGCCAGGGCAGCAAAGATGAGGCCCCCCTTGCGGACAGTCTCATAGTCTGAGGAAGGAGAGGGCAAGGAGGTGGGATGGGTCATCCCAGGCACCCTTCCCACATCCCACCCCAGCAGCAGCCCCAGGCTACCAGGGGAAGGTGGTGGCCGTAACCAGGGGATGCCAGGAACCGGGGGTCTGTGCGTGGTGGCAGGCTGAGGAGGGGGGCCCACCAGGCTTACCGTAGTAGAATGGGTCCACATCGTCCTTGGGGCTGCCACCTGAGGAGAGAGCCAGAGGCAGGGTGAGCCAGCCACGGAAACAGTGGACCTCCCATCCTTCCCTTCCCGGCAGCCCCAAGGGTCCAAGTGGGCAAGAGGAGGCTGGTGGGCCTGCTAAGGCCCCTGCCAGTGGGGGCATCTGTCCTGGGCCACCTTGGAGACAATCAGCTTGGGACCAAACACCAAGCATCCAAGCAGGGTGCCGTGCTGCCTGTGGGGGCCTCCGGCAACTCTGGGAGGGTTGGATCTTTCCTCTCCTCTCTTTCTACAACCGTAAGCAAGGCCATGGGAGACATTTCCCATTGGACCCATGGAGCCTCCCTCCATGTGACTAATCAACGGCAAGATGCGTCGCAAATACTTGTGGAATGAATGAACTGAAGAGGCCCTTCACTTCCACTGCACAGAAGGAGAAAACTGAACCTGTTTAAGGTCCCCCATGAAAGTTGGGGGCAGAACTGGGTCTTGGACTCAGGTTTCTAGATCCTTCTCTCTTATGTTTCCATCCTCAAGGGGAAGCAAATTCTTTTAAGAATCGTTAATATATCGTGTTTACCACCCGCTAGGCGAAGGCTAACAAAACGTTAGCTCATTTTACCGTCACAGGCAGCCCGTGAAGCATTAATATGATTCCAATACAATCCCTAGAAGCTGGAGGCACAGAGAGGTTAAGTAACGCCCCCACAGTTACACAGCATAAAGGGGAAGAGCTGGGACTTAAACCCAGGCAATAGGTTGCTAAGAATCTAGGCGCCTTACCCCTTTGCTACATTGCCTCTCAGATGGTCAGAAGGCACGAGACCTTTCAAGGCCACGTATGGTCCAGTCCCCTGTGTCCTATAGTGTTAGCCCACCCAACGTGTTGCTGCTCAGCGCCAGAGGTCATAGCTCTGCCCTCCAGCCCTGGAAACTGAGCACACTTGCCTTTGGGCAGCCCGAGGGCACCTGGCCAGAGTTTTGCGGCCATGGTGGGGGGTGGCCCCTCTTTCCTACCCTCTATCGGGTCCCTTCTCGGCACTGAGGAGGCAGTGCCTGAGGTAGAAGGGATGCACAAGTCGGCACCTCCCAGGTTGTGCTGAACTGTGCCCTGGGTGGTGGGGGGCCTGGGGGCCTGGGGACACCACAGGGTGTCCCCTGTGCAGCCTCCCTGGCCAGAAGGGGCCGGTGCCTGGGCCTCTAGGGGAGGGCTATGGGGACCCAGGAGCCTGTCCCCATGTGGGAGCCCATCAGCGTTGTCTCCGGATTCAGTTCTTGTGCAGGGTGACATGGGGAGTTAGCCCCAGAGCCATGACTAGGTTGGCGGCTCCCCTCACCACACCAGGGAGCCGCCTCCTCCCTCGTCCCTTGTCTTGAGCCATTCACTGAACCCACGCCCACCCAAAGCCCTCGTCTTTTCTAGGTCTGGCTCAAAGCCCACCACAGTCAACAGAGGTCCCTGTTGGCCTCCAGGCCCGAGTCACCCCCATCACGGGATCCTTTTGGCGGTGTCCCTCCACACTTGGGGGGCTCTGGCCCCAAAGCCAGCCTGACCCCCCTCCACCTCCCGCTCTGAGCTTAGGTAGTCCAGAAAGATACATTGAACCAGGACAGGTGCCTGCCAGAGAGTCAAGATAGGAGCTCATCCCCGCCCCCATCCCCCAGCTCCTACCTGGCACCCCAGGTTCTGCCATTCAAGCTCTATTCCTTCAGACTTAAGGCAGGACCCTCTTTTTCAAAGCAATTTTTTTAAATCCTCTTAGGAGGCTGGCAAGGTTGGGGGAGGGGTGCTGGGGTCCCTGGAAGGCAGGGGTGCCGGGGTCCAGCTCATCCCCTCCAAGGTGGTCCAAGGAGAGGCCACCTCCTGCTTCACACACGTACACACACACTCACCGTCGTCCAGGGACAGTGCTGCCATTCTCCTAGCTGATCAGGCTGGTCCCGGCTGCCCTCCCCTGCCTCTGCTCGGGGGAGAGTACCTGGCTGCGGGTGGCCAGGGGAGAGGTGGGGGCATTAAACATTAACAGTGCCAGGTAATGTTTACCCTGGTCACGAGAGAAGCCCTCGTGTGAGCGGAGGGGCTCCCTCGGAGGCAGGAGGAAGTGTGTGCGCACGCAGGGGCAGGGACGAGCTGGCTGAGTTTCCAAACCCTCCCGAAAGGAAATTTCCAGAGAAGCGTCGGGGACGGGTAGGCCACAGTGTTCTTCCACCGGCTGGAGAAGCCGTGGCTGGGGCTGGCGCACGGGGGAAGTGGGACTTTCAAAATATATTCAGTGTCTACCAGCGCTTGAGGGGCCACGTCAGGGGCCCCACAGACACCACCCCACCCCAGCAGCTGCCCACCTCCCCGACCACTGCGGAGACCACGGAGACCACAGCTTCAGCTGCTACTTCCGACCCGGCATCCGGGCCTTCCCTGCGGACGTCCCCAGGCACCTGCCCCCCTCCCACCACAAGGCCCACACCGAGCCCATCGTGCGCGTTCACGCCTCCAGGCCCGAGCTGCCCCGTTCCTGTTGTTTCCTTCACCCTTCGGGGCTGCATCCAGCAGCTCACACCTCCGTCAGAAAGGCTCCAGTCACCCCTAACTAATCTCTTTCCCTGTTGCCTCTGGCATTTTCCTTCTGCAGTCTAGCTGCTCCCATGCCAGTTTCCCGGGTTGCGCTGTCGGCTCCTTCAGGAAGGGGCCAAGCCTACCACCCGGAGAAGGGCTTGCTTTTCTGACTCACAAAGCACTTGCCTAACTAGTATCCCCTTGTGCCTTGTGTTATTTCCCATTTTACAGATGAGGCATCCGAGGCACAGAGAGGGTAGGGCCCTGGCCCCAGGTCACACAGCCGGTGAGGGGCAAGGTGGAGGATGGACAGGCAGGCCTTAGGCTTTAGGAGTCAGGTGCTTTCCCACAGCTCCGAGGCTGCCTCCCCGCTCTGCGGCGGCCTCTGTCACCCCAGAGACCCCAGGGCTGGGTACTCCATGAGTGCTCATATTCCTGGCTGAGCTCTAGTCCATTGAACTGGCCTCCAGAAGAGGCTAATGTTCAATGGTAGCCAAGGGCCCAAAGCCAGCGGTCCGTGTCCACCAAGGATGGACTGCTCCTTCCAAAGGGAATGAATCCTCTGTTAATCCCCCTGGAGTGGTTGCAGGGGATCAAGGTTTGAGTTCATTTCCTGGCTCCTCCATTTGCTAAGTAAATGGCCTCTGTCGAGTCACTGAACCTCTCTGTGCCTCAGTCTTCTCGTCTGTAAAATGGGACTACTCCCTGCCTCAGGGAGTTGTTGTGCAGAGAAAGGAGATAATGCATGTGAAGAGCAGGGCATACGACCTGGGACACAGCAAGTGTCACTATAGTTCCCGTCATATTTGTGTCAACTGGAAAATAAAGGGCATTCATGTTTTGTTGAACATTAACTGCTGGACGCAGGAAAGCCAACCCCCCTCCAGCGAAAATCAGCATGGGGGTGAGATGGAGAGAGAATGTCATGGCCATGGCCCTGCAGCCCAGGAGCTGTGACATCCATTCCACTCTCTGCTTTCAGAGCCGAGCAATGAATATTCATGAGAATATTATAGCACAACTAATGCCTAGTAGGGGCTGACCACGTGTCAGACTCTTTATTTATTTTTAAGATTTATTTATTTATTTTGAGAGAAAGCAAGCGAGCGAGTGTGTGTGAGCCAGGGGCTGAGGGAGAGGGAGAGAGAATCCCAAGCAGACTCCCTGTGAGCGCAGAGCCCCACTCAGGGGGGCTCGATCCCACCACCCTGAGATCACGACCTGAGCCGAAACCAAGAGTCAGACGCTTAACCAACTGTGCCATCCAGGTGTCCCTTGTCAGGTTCTTTATATGCCCTGTCCCACTGAATCCGGGCTTGCTCCATTCTACAGATGAAGAAGCTGAGGCTGATCATTTGCTCCCTGCAACGAGACCGCCGGAGGTGGCCAGGGCAGGGCCATGAGCCCCACTGGGCAGAACAAGAAGACTGAGGGCAAGGAGCTTGAGGGATTGGCCTGCAACATCCAGTTAGTGACAAAACCAGGCCTAGAAAGCCAGACCCGCAAGGCTGTGCTCCCAAAGCTACTGTCGCTCTCTACACGAGACACCAGTGCCCCTTACCACACATTGTCTCAGTATCTTAGTGCGTTTTGTCTATCTCTGTAAGCTACTGCGGATTCTATCTGCCATAGTGGATATAAAAATGGGTGGAAAGGATAGTAGATAGATAGATAGATAGATAGATAGATAGATAGATAGATAGAGGGAAGGAGGGAGAGAGGGAGGGAGGGAGAGATGGTGGCAGAAATATGAAAAACAAGTTGTTATCTGAATTTTAAACTCTATGTGCAAGACCCTGTTCTGAGCACGTAACAAAAATTAAGCATGTGATCATCACAACAACCCTGAGGTAAGGAAGCCGTCATCAGGATCCCCATTTTAGAGATGAGGACACTGAGGAGAGAAGTCAAACAACTTGCCGGCGGTCAGGCAGCGAGGGAGTGGGGAAAACAAGATTTGAACCCAGCAGCCCGGCTTTGGAATTCCTGCAGATGGACCGGTGGCTAGACAGGCAGAAAAGGAGGCTGTTGGATAAGCTGTCTTCCTAGTTCCTGCAGCTCAGAGATGCTCAGGGCAGAGATCCCCACATGTCCAGGACTCCACCTTGAGATGCCCTTGTTGAGAAATCCTGCCTGTCCTCGCTTCGGCTTTCCCTGCGCTTCTGGGGAGCCGGTGGCTGCACCTCAAAGTGAGGAGGTGGACACCCGTGTCCGAGTCTGAGCAGACGGGGGGCGTGGGGCTCAGGGGACTCACCCAGGTACCACCTGTCCATGGCAGGAGCGGCCGGGGAGTCCTCGGTGGACGAGAGTGGCGAAGCATGGGTTGCCAAGGGCCTGGCTGGAAAGTGCGGCCCTCCCTCCTCCACACCTCCTCCCCCTCCCCCGCCGGGGGGGGGGGGCAGGAAGAGACAGAGTCAGGGAGGAGAGCTGGCAAGGGAGCCCTCACCTTGTGCCAGGCATCCCCATCAGAGGGTCTCTGACTTCCACCCGAGGAAGGGGGAAGCTGGGAGCCACAGCAAAGCAAGCCCCAGCCGCTGCCCCTCTGCCCCCACAGGAGAGACACCACAGCCCGCGCCCCCCAGGAAGCCTGGGGCGCCTGCAAAGGCCACCCTAGGGGTGACTGAGGGAGACCCCGAGGGTCATCTATGGGCCCCCCCCAAACCTTTACTCAGCTGCACCTCCCCCGTCGAGCCCAGTAGGGCCTCCGCCCCGACATGTCCTGCCCTCGGGTCTCATTCTGCAGCCGGCGTCCCCTGAGATGGCACAGAATGCCAGCAGACCCCTCGGTAGCTGCCCTGGGTGGGGCGGGGGCGCTTTTCAGGGCCAGGCCTGAGGCCGCAGCTGCAGGTAGTAAGGCCCACATGGGAAGCAGCTGGGGGCCGGGAGGGGGCGCTGGTGTGGAGCCGCTCCATGGCAGCCAACCCGTAGCAGCCTAACGCGGCCTCTGAGGGCTGCTGGTTGGTGCCAGAGGGGGACGGCCCGAAGACAGCCCTTCGGGTTCCAGGGAGGTGCGGCCCCCTGCCTTGGCTCAGCCAAGTCTCAGTTCCCGGGGCCACCGGGGCCTCTGAGGGCCTGGAGCAAGGTCGCAACAAGCAGGCTGGGTGTGGCTCACTCCGGAGCACGGGATCTCCCTCGGTGACTTGGGGGCCACCCTACTCGGCCGCCCCAGAATGCACACTGAAAAGCAGGGTTTGGGAGGTGCTGGTTCTGGCCCCCGGCTCTGACCCCCTGCTCCAGTCAGACAACGACTTGCCTCTCCGTCCCTCCTTAGCAGAATCTCCTGCCCTGAGGGGATGACTAATGACACCCCCAGAGAGCCACCTCCCGGCTGGAAGACGTTCCGGAAATGAAGAAGGGCAGGCCTGGAGGGGCGTGATCTGGAGGGGCTGAGGTCTGTCCTGAGGACCCTGCCCCGTGGCCGAGCTGCTCCCACGACCCGGCCTTGTCACATGATCCCAAGTGGAAACCTGCACGTTCAGACAGCTCAGGGCTGTCGAGCGGAAATTCTCCAAGCCGGGCACTTGGAAAGATTCAGAAATCTCGGCGCTGGATGACACTTCAGAAGTTACCTGGTCCAAACATATCAGTGGTTCAGAAACGTGACGATCTCAGCCAGAACCCCCTTCACGGCCTCCCGCAAACACACACACCTACACACACATTCTGTGTTCCCTACCAGCTCCTAAAGCTGCAAAGGAAGGCATCTTGATCCCAAATGGAGACCCTGTGTCCAGGACTGGCTAACTGGAAAGGGCGTCCAAAGTCATCCTACCCATCCCCATCATTTATAAAGGGTTCACTCTCCTGCTCCAACCCTTTGAAGCCTCAGAGAATAAACCAAAGTCCTTTTTGTGTCCTATAGGACACTTCTTAATCTGGCCCCAATGACATCTTTGACCTTGTCTCCAACTTCCCTGTCCCTTCTCTCTGCTCCAGCCATACTGGTTTCCTTGATGCTCTTCTAACCCTCCAGGCATGCTCCTGCCTCAGGACCTTTGCACTGGCTCTTCCCTCTTCCTGAACACTCTTCCTCCAGAGAACTTCCTGGCTAACCTTGCCCACACCTCATTTCACTGATTGACTCAGAAGACCCCTCTTGGCACTCCAATCTAAAATGTTCACACCCACTCTCTGAAATGTCTCAAATCCCTTTCTTAGTTTGTTTTGTTTTGTTTTCTCCAAGAAAGCAAGGCTTTTTGTTGTGTTCATTTGCAGATTCCCAGGGCCTAGAACAGGACCTGGCACATGGTGCACCCCCAGTTTTGTTAAACAAATGAATGCATCCCAGAATTGAAGTCATTTCTCTAGTGGCTCAGGGAGGCCCAGGACTTGCCTAACGCAGGCTCTTCCCCTGAGATCCCCTGCCCTCTAATAGGTAACAGGAACTAGGTTGCCCCCACGGAGAAAGAGTGGGTGGTCGGCCACCCCCATGTCTTGCCAGAGGCTACCCCAG